AGGGAGTGTCTTGTAAAAAAACGGGCGGCACTCTAACCTAAGCAGAAGGGTGCGGTAAGATATAAATTGGCCCTCTTTTTGAAGTCACACCGGGAGAAGAGCCGGGAAAAGCCGCTAAGGGAATAAGAGAATCAAGAGATATAAGCCAAATCAAAAAAGTCTAAAGCTTGAGATGGGGGCGTGACAAAATTTCCTTACACGGAACGAAACATGGCTCAAGGAACTTTTGAGTATTTAAGTGGCGTAAGACAAACGATCATTTATCTTAGTTGATGTTGGAGGAATACTTTTCATTCCGCTAGAGGAGATCATGTCTTATATTATTCAAGCCACCCCCGCCTTAATTTTTTACTTTAAATAGAAATATTGGCCCCGTATGATCTTCTGTAGGGCTAAAACTAGTTTAAACGCGTTCAAACAATTGCAGTGTTTACCAAACGAGACTTTAAGTTATTTTCATTCTATACCACAGATCGAGTACTATTCCTCACTCCGAAAACTATACTAGGCGAATGGTTAAAAATTTTCGGAGCAACGATTTTTGGGATTAGTATTGTTTAGGTGGAAAAGCGATTCTTATGATTGGTTAATAGTTGCCTTGAGTACCAGCATTCACCAATCAAACCTAACGCTTGTCCACCCAAATGATCCCAAAAATCACTGCGCCCAAAGCTTGTACTCAAGTCTTCCTAGAGTTTCTGAAGTGGGGAATTTATATGCTCTCTATACAATCACTCACCTGACTGAAGAAAAATGACAGCCGTGAGCTGGCGAATGCGATTATTTTCTGTTGAAACACAGGTGTCTGATGGGTTTCTTTTTCGTACTGATGTCAATAAATGTTTCTCGAATTTAAAAGGGGTAAACATGAGTATATACTGAAAGCAGAATTTTTATTAGTAAGGAAGTTCGAATTCTCAGTTCAGAATTCTACCGTCCAGCAAAATCAGTGGGTCTTAATAACACATTCTACTCAGCATTTCGAAACATTTGGTAAGACCGAAAGTGAATCAACTCAAATAGGGATACATGACACATTTTTGGGGAATAGTTGTCACATATTAGACTTAGAATAAACCAAATAATTATAATGGCTCTTGGCGCCTTCGCCGCCCAATATCACTCGACTACTACACAGTACCGCCAGCTACGCAGGCTAAATTTTAAAAAGTTATCTAATATGATGTTGAACACGCTTCATTTGAATAAAAAAACTCGCAACGTTTTTTTCAAGTTAAGTTTTCTTTTTCTTTCCGGTATTCTTGAAGTCATTTTCTCTGGCTTTTTCAATAAACAATGATGGAAAATTGGAATTTTACAGATATAAGCGGCGGATAAAATGCCGCGAGGTAACAAACAAGAGAGAGGGAGAATAACCAATTAAAGAAATAAAAAAAACAAGTTTAGTAAGTATCACAATAACTGAACTACTTACTTATATCTCGAAGCGTCAAACGAAAATCTTCCTTTTTCATCTTTTCCGGGCGCACAAGTATAGTAGGACGTTCGAGGGAAATTACTTTTCGTTTGAATAAAAAATCAGGTCAAGAGAATAGCGCGTAACGAGTTCATTACATTACAATTGAATAAAAATTTCCGCCGCTGGGCGCCCAAGTGGGCGCCCAAGGGTGCCCAATTGCAAGTCGTGTTCATTGGATCGGAGAAAGAAGAGCTACGGTTTTTAGTCGAATAACGCCGCACGCACTTATTTATTTTTCACGCCTCAAAGTGGGCGGCGTTTATTTGAGAGTTGGACGCGACAGCGCGAGCTAGAAAGTTTTACGTTTTTTGGTGGCAAAGTGAGCGAGAGACCGGAAGCTCGACTTGTTGTCCTCATCAAGTGACGTCATTTTGGCGTTGGGGCCTACGACTGGAACCGGAAATGAGAAGCGAAGGACTTCGAAAAAGCCTAAGGGCGCGTTTCTTTGGGATGATCCGGATCAGGATCAGTGATCCGAGATCAGTCGGATCATGGTAGATCAAATGAACCGATGAATCCTTGTCCAGAGTGGATTCATTGGTTCATTTGATCTACCATGATCCGAGTGATCCGAGATCATTGGTCCTGATCATGGCATCAGACGAAGATTTAGAAGGCGATTTCAACAGGTCAATCAGTGTAGACTTACATGACATAGGAGACTTATGATGTCCCCGTACACCGAGTAACTTCCAAAGGTGACTCAATGACCCGATCGTCTGTTACAATCATATTATGGCGACTACAAAAAACCCAGCTGAACAAGTATTTGTTGTCGGGGTAGGAATGACAAAGTGAGAAATCAGTACAGATTAAAAACTTTCGTGAGCTTGAGTCTTTTTTTCAGTGTGTATTGCAATTTAAAATTTTAAACTCATTTTAGGCTTAATAATTAAGCTTATTGTATTAAATTGTTGTTCTTCTTTTTAAGGTTTGAGAAGCCACTTACCAAGAAATGGGACTATCCAGGTATACGTATAATTCTAAAATTGATTTTAAAATAGTGATATTATACCTGAGTCATGCCAGTTTTGTTCTAGCGGAAGGTCAGTAAAAGGGACAACATTTCCTAAGATATCCCAGCATTTTACCGTGGTCATAACTGTCGTCTGATTATTAGAAAACCTTAAGACGTCAATAATCAGAGGTCATTGCATGAGCAGATGTACATGCAACTTTCTTTTGTCTTTGGATGACAAGAAATATTGATTTTCCACCAAACTATAGTCTATGTATGTATGAAGGTGAGGTTTGGTGGAAAGTTTTTTCAAACAAAAATATTGTCTTTCCTCTCCTGTCCTGTTGCGTAAGTTCAATAATAATGGACTCTGGGGGAGGATGATGGATGTGTGTATTGTTTTTACAGATATGGCAAGGGAGGCTGGAACAGCAGCATTAAAAGATGCTGGGATTTTATATCAGGATGTGGAAGCTGTTGTAGCAAGCTACTGTTATGGTGAACCAACCTCAGGTAAAGTGCAGGTAGCTGCAAAGTTTTAGGTGATTTTTGATTCCTTTCTGTCGTTATATATGCAAGTGTATATCACATGCTTCAGTCAAACCTCCTCAATATGAACAACAAAGGGACAGAGATTTGGGATTACAGTCAGGTGTCTCATTATTACTGATAGTAAAGGGACACAGCCAAGGTTTGGTATTACAGAGGGGTTTCTTTGTTATTGACACCAAAGAGACATAGCCAAGTATCTACCTTACAGAATGACGTAACAGTGCATATTATAGAGGTATATTAGGGATTGTATAAAATAGTATATCTTGCAAAGTAGTCAGTTTTTCTCAAAATCAGCCTTTTTGAAAGTTTAAAATTCAAGACTTAGCATGAACTCTCGCATTAACCAGTCACATGCCTGTTGAGTCTGTTACCCTGTTAGCAGAGGCCTTTTTTCCCTGGTATTTGGCAGGCGGGAGGAAAAGAGACCTCTGCCATGGGCAGAAACGGACTTTGATGAAGCCACCGTCCATGCTCATGGACGGTGCTTTGCAAAATGCATGCTCCTTGTAATGTTTACTAACAGTTTCTTGAGCCTGATAAAAAAAACTTTCACGCTGTATGTGTTCTTGTTCAACCACTTTTACAAGACTAATTTTTGTGTGATCGAAGTTTTATGATTATAGCAGAGGCCTCTTTTCCCTGGCATTCATGCTGTATTCCTTCTTGTTCACGCACTACGGTTTGTTACACATGAATTTGAGTGTGCTGTTTACTGTTCCTCTTAAGAGGACAGTAGGCAGCGAACTCAGAATCCTTCAAAATTGCTGAAAATACCACTTCTGAGGCAAAGGTTCTGTAGGTAAGGTAACACAACATTCATTCAGCATTGAACCATGCACATAACCAGCAATATACCACCTCAGATTAAGCAAACAGTAAATCCAGTACATTTACTATAAAATTGTAAATATTATACAATTAATCAGTTTCACAAACAGATTGTGTACAAATTGCATGGGCTCTCTGTCGAAATTGAAATCATCACATTCGTTGACAAAAAAACTACATGAATGTAGCTATTCAGATCCAGTTACTTTGGAGAAAAACAGAGAAACTAAAATCTTTATTGAGAGCCTTAAAAGGCTTTAACAGAGCTAGGTCATTGGTACTATACAAACTGCATCTGAGATCAAATCCTGTCAAAAACAAACCACAATAAGCATAAAACAGACCAGCTTCATGACCTCCAGATGTTATACTCAGAACGACAAAAATATAATTTTCTCAGTCAGAGTTTAGATACTCCCAGCGCTGTACTCCATGCACTGCATAAGCTACGTGAAAGAAAGAACATAAGTCACGTTTTGCACTATCTCGAGCTTGTGAGTTGCGTTTAGCCTGTCAACACTGTGTTTCAAACTTAATCATGTGCTACAATGTTCACATGATGATTAGGTCTCCAAGCAACGGCGGTGCATGCTCAACAAAGCCCGTTCCGCCTGTGACAGAGGTCCCTTTTCCTCCTGCCCACCGAATACCAGGGAAAAGAGGCCTTTGCTAGCAGGGAACTGTTATGCAAGAGTTAAAAAAAAAAGTTGACTCAGAGGTCAAATAAAAGTCCTGTGCTGTAGTCTGGGACAAGTAGATTTTCTAGCTGGGCAAGCAACTTTTAAAGCTTACTAACCCAACAAGCATGAGTCCAGGTAAGTCATCTTCTAACAAAATCATTAACTAAGACAAACAAGAAGTGGCCCTCGGGAAGCAAAATATAAGAGCTGCCTTGCCCAAAGGACAAGCCAGAATTCAACTTTGTTTTTCAAGCCCTGTGACTGTTAGTTTCCCATTCAACAAAAAGGATCTCTTCCCAGTCTCACTCATGTACATTTTTGTTGTTGCTCCAAGGTAACCTTTCATTTGATGAGGTAAGCAGTCTAAGTACATCTGGGATCAAAAGATTTGTCTGTAATAGGTAGCTGTCTGTATTTTAGAGGAATGACCCCTTATGGAGAGTTGGACAATTCACTGTGAAACTCAGAAAGCTGTGAGCAGTCAGCACTGCAATATTTTAGGAATGCACTGTGTTGCAAAGAGTCAGGTGTGAGAAAACTAACTGCAAGCTATTTGTTTTAATTGGCTACTTCACAATCAATGATTCTTGAAATACAGTTTTTCAGGTGATCACCATTTCTGACTTTGACAGTAATATTAATAGGATTTTTTTTGAAATATAAGAAGATTCTCTTGTTTCATTTGCAGGTCAACGAGCAGTTTATGGTATGTAGTTCTTTAAAGTTCAGTGTATGAATTGTACCATGTAAGTATTGGTAATAAAAAAATGTGTAACTGATGAGGCTCCAACGTTGCTTAGCCATTAGCCAACTTAGTGGAAGGCTGCTGAAGTAAATCAGTTGTAGTTCAAAAAAATAATAATTTCAGGTAAAAGGGTGTCAGCCTAAATTGAAAATTTTTTTAACCTGAATTTAATTTGACCTGCATCATAGCCATGCTCAGTGCCTTTTGCCAGAATGCATTCGATTTTCATTTAAACATTTGATGTTTAAGGGTATTGTGCAAATGAAGCAGAAATTAACCCTCTCACAGCTTCCTTTTTTTGAACCTCCTGGGACTGTCCCTTTTGCCCTTAATCTTACTAATTTGAAGGGTTACTGAAAGAAAAAGACCTCAAGGTAACCGTGATGAACTGCTAGTTTCTCCTTTCAAAAAGCTTCATGTTTGCTTGTAAAGAAAAGGGAGATTTTGATGTGAGATCAAACATCACTGGGCATGTCCAGCTTGGTCTGATAGGATGACTGTTAACTGTTTTACATGTATGTTTCTTTGGATTAACTATTAAATCACTAGCATAAACTGTCCTTGTTTCAGAGCTTGGTCTGACAGGTGTCCCTGTGTTTAACACAAACAACAACTGCTCTTCTGCATCATCTGCCCTTATGCTGGCTAGATTGTTGGTTCTCAGTGGACAGTATGAGTGTGTTTTGGCATTGGGTAAGGTAAAATGTATTAGTCTATACCAACCAATTACATGTAAGTCAACAGTGATGGGAGGGAATTTGGGCTTTCATAAAGTATGCTTACTTGCCTTCGTTCTGACCTCACCGTATCACAATCATGGAACTCTGGCAGCCTGGTTTATTCTTGGCAAATCACAGTCTGTGGAGCAGACGTTTTTTTCGTGTTTTTTTTTTTTCACAGTAAGAGGTCAAACAATGAAATTATTTGGGCAGGGGGTGAGAGAAAGAACGAAGAGAGAATAAACCAGCTGTTCCTGTTTTCCTTTTTCCCTCGCACCTTCCCTCATCATAAACTCATTTGACCTCTCTTTTGCTTTTGTCCAGCTTTGTCTCTTACGTTTTGTGCCGCAAACAAAAAGCACAACAACAACAACAACAAAAAACGCCTGCCGGCCACACAGGCTAGCCATGTCTTTTTTCCCGTTTTTCCCAAGTCAGGATTCAGTGGACTCATTTTTTTAGTCAATTTGAAAAGTTGTCATTTCTGAATAATTATACAAGGGACATGTTATAAAATTTTCAGTCAGAAATACAGAATATTCTTTGAAATATGTGATAATTAAAACTGGAGTTTTACAAAGAATGAATGGCATCTTATATATCATCCGAAATCCTAAGTGTGGACATTTGTAAGTATAGTCTACCTACGAGAGTGTAAGTAGTCTTGCATCAGCAACATGTTTTTTAATGGTTACTTTACTTTTGTATTGTTTAAGAAAAAATATCTCATTTAGTGACAGTGTAGGGCAACTAATCAAAAATGTTTGATGTGTATGAGTTAAACTATTTTCTGTTCATTTTTGTTTCAATTTGAAGGTTTTGAGAAGATGGAGCGGGGATTATCGGAAAGGTTTCATGATCGCGCGTCTCCAGTTAAACGTCACATGGATCACATGATAGCGATCGGTGCCACACCGGGACTGGTGAACCCACAATTAAACACCATGACATCTGATGTAATCAAGGTAACAATTGAATACTGTGTTCACACTTGAGAAAAATGAGAATGCGGTGGAAAAAAGAAAAGGGTAGGGTCCCTCCTTCCACTCGTGCCCATCACATTTTCGCGCGTCTTAACACAGGTACCGCAAGCTCATGAGTGAGAATCGTTGTCGCATATTAAACAGAAATATCACAAATAGCTTGTATAGGGATTTTAGCGATTGCTGTGGAGGGGACTAAAATAGTATTAAAAATACGGTAGAACTAAAACTGTCTTGAATCGCTTAAAAGGGCCACAAAAATGCTAAGAAGAAACCATAGGAAAAAAACAACAAAAAAAAGAACCAGGCTACTGTTTTTCATTATTTATTCAAAGCGGGTATTTTTTTAGTTGAATGACAAAACAAAAATATAAAATCTTTGTTACCCTGAAAAATCGCTCTGTCACGCTATTTGCTATCTTCTTAAATTGCTAAAACGTGTCTTTGCATCAATTGAATTCCAAAGATAATGGTCCAGTATTGTTTTTTAAGACTATATTCAGGCAAGTTGTAAAGTGGCCTGAGTCACAGACGTAATTTAATTTCAGTTAGTAACGTCTGTAAAGCAGTTCCAAGATCCTTGTTCTGGGTCCCCAACGGACGCAACGAATTACCGAACTGAAGTGGGTTTCGAATTTTCCTTCATCCTGATTGACAAATAGACAATGGCTTTTTAAAGAGCCAATCACAGCACGTACTCAAATCCTGGTACACAGGTGAGGGCCCGGAACAAGGATTTCGGCGCTGTTTCGCTGACGGACCTAACCAGAAATTAATTTCGCCTGTGGTGCAGGCTAGTTGTAATGCTCCCAAACATATATAATTTTTTAGTGCTCTCTGAGGAAATTGTTTGATATCTTCTTCATAACTCTACAGGAGCATTTTGGGTTTAGGTAAAAGCAGTAAGTAACGACTTCAGCACAGAATTGCCCTAAAACAGCAATATCCTGGTGACAGTCACAGCCCCTTTAAGCTCATTTTTGTCACGTGTTTAATACACAGCTCTTCGCATATGCCGCACAAGAGCACAGTACGAAATATGGAAGCACTTTAGAGCAGTGTGCAAAGATTGCTTACAAGAATCACAAGCACAGCGTACATAACCCATATGCGTGCCTGAGGAAGGAGATTCCTTTAAAATATATCAGTGAATCAAAGACCATATGTAAACCTATTACACTCGCCATGTCGGCGCCCACAGCAGATGGGTCAGCAGCTGCTGTTGTGTGCTCAAGAGCCTTCCTGGAATCCAGAGGAATGCAGGTTAGCTTTCGAACTGGCCGTGAGATCTTTAATACCCTGGGTACCAGAGTTTTTTCTACCGTGCGGCGATCGGTTGCCGCGGAGATGTTTCGGGCTGACACGTCTTCGGCCGACGGCAGAAACCCGTGGAAACCGCGCATGAATAGTCTCTCTTTGGCACCTAGGGTAGATCTCTAACAACCTCCAGGGAAAATCTTGACGCGGAATTAACATCGTGATTGTTCTTCGTGGTAGATACAATAATAAACAAAGGTCTCATGATGTAGTCACTTTTGTCGGAGAAAACACAACGGGGAAATGAGAAAGCGGATCGCGAAGGTAACTATTTCTCTGTCTCGCAGAAACAGTGAACATTGACATGCAGCAACCACAACCGACTGCGGTGATACAAATAGTAATGTGCAAAAAATCACCTTTTAATTATAACCTGAAGAAAACTCCTCAGCAGTTGAAAGGTCGCCATATACATCTCAGGTAATTACGTCGTGAGACATATATTAATCTTTTTGCAGCGACTGGTTACCCTTGACTACCCTTGAATTGTCATTCTCTCTCTCACTATAGCAAAGTATAAAAAAAACATAGTTTTCTCGTAGCTTTCATGTAAAAGAAATCGTAGAGCTCATGGCAAAAATTTGATAAGAAAACTAGAACAATCTTCTTTGGGGTCTCCATTTACGAGTATATTATATACACTTCCCGCTGTAATCAAAGGTCTCGAATATACAGGAAAACTAATTCATCAACAGCGTCTTACGTCGATTTTCACCAGAATCTGAGAAAATCGTAAATACGGTTCTAAATGCTCGTTTTTGTGAGCATGTTAAACAATAGCAATTCCCGAGTTGCCCCAAGCTTCTGTTTGAAAACGAGGCTAAGTGCGAAGCCATTGCTGATACGAAATGATTTTTATTCTCATGCAAATAAACCGAATTTTCACAAGAAAGGCTTGGCACTTAGCCTCATTTTGAAAGTGAGAGTTTTGGAACTCGGGAATGGCCTATTGTATCAACTTAAGGCCGCAGTGAATATTCATACTAATCAGGTTAAAAAGCAATATTTTCACGTAGTTTAGAGAACTTCGTACACCTTCAAACTATTATATCCACAGGGAAAACCAGTTGTTATTACTAATACCTAAGAGCTAGAATTCAAAAAATAGAAAATGATATTGATCTTTCCATGCTATTTCTTATTGTAAAATTCAAGCCACTCTACTCGTTGTCATCACTGCTAGTCACCGGGCACTTAATAATGTGATCTGAGTGAACAGGGCTGTCCGGCAGATATTCACAGGCATACCAACCGAACTAATTGGGTAATTTCTTTGTTTAAGAGTAAAGCTGTGGAAATTGTTGCACAGCAGATGGTCACAGACCTACCATCCTCGTTTGAGCGGAGCTTTATGGATTTAGCTGGTGTTGGTATGGCTCGTAAAGCTGCTAAAGACTGCTACAGATCGTCAGGTCTTACCCCTCAAGATGTCGACGTACTTGAGGTGCACGATTGCTTTTCCTGTAACGAGGTTAGTTGTCTACTGTGAATATTATTTTCTTTCTTTGGAAACATAATTTTAAAATAAAAAAGAAGAAAAAACTGATTGACCTTGACTTTGTAGGGGTTGGCACAATTGCTGGTAAACCACTAGTTTATATTGTAGCCCACAAAAATGGACAAAAACAAAATATAAATACAGTGATATTGAAATAAACAGAGCAGGTACTGCTTATGCCAATTGGACGGAGGCAAACCAGTTGGCCATTAATCCTTTCAGCCCTAAGAGTAATCAGCATCAAATTTCTCCTTGCAATATCAATTCTTTGTAAAACAGAGTGGTCATGAGAATTACGGACATGATCACACAAGATGAATTTGCTTGATAGTTTATCAACTTCTCCCCACTACTTCTGTAGGAAATGAATAGAGGCAACAAATGAGAATTCATATTTTGATTTTGGGGTTTAAAGGGTTAGCAAGCAATGCCGAGGAGTTGAACTTGGACCTTCCGAGAACAAATTTAGTCAGCGGTTAGAGCGAAACTTGAAATTTGGACCTCCAGATTTTCAAGTCCAGCACGCAAACCGCTCGGCCAAGCTTTCGTGTCTCGGAGCAACGGCCTTTGACCTGCGTTGTTTCAGTGTCTTCCTCAGTCGTGTGGTGTGGTCTGATTTAGCGGTCACGAGATTGTCAATATTGTGTGGGATAAATAGTTTGTGTGACTTAGTCATGTTAAGGAGAAACGAGAGTTGCCAGTTTCAATGTCAAGCGGTGTGAGAAATAATGCCGGCAACAAACTCGAGCTATTACGTCCAATTTGGTAGCTTATTAATTTCTTTGGATCGTTGCACGAAAATCTCTTCCAGATTAAGCGCGCACCGTTTTTCTAACTTTTTTGACACATTAATCAAAGCATATTGAGAATATTGGCGGTAGGTCTGATTTGTTTTGCTCGTGACCCAACTGAATAAAAATTAAGTTCAATGTTCACATGCCATGTCTACATTTTATTGCAGCTCTTCATGTACGAAGCTATGGGACTTTGTCCACCCGGAAGGGGTGGAGACCTAATTGACTCGGCAAAATGGGTTCCCAATAAAAAAGGTAACATTTTTTAAAACTGAATTTTTCCATTTTATTTTTGAAATTAAAAAATAACTTCAAAGGTCAGTAAAAGTCATTAGAGTCGTTAATGAGGACGCGCTGGTCCCCAGAAGTCTTTGCGAAAGTTAACTGGTCCCAGTTTCCCTCTTGTTTGTAAAGTGGCAGGTATTTGTTTTGTCTGTGTAGGTGGAGCAGTTTGTCGTGTTGGAGGAAGATGGGTAGTGAATCCCTCAGGAGGATTAGAGTCAAAAGGTGAGTGAGATTCTTTAAACATACTACATAAAGCCGTTGGCCGTTGCCTCAAGGAAACAAAACCATATCCAGTTTTTTTGAGACAACTTCTGAGGTCAGTGAGCATGTGTACGACGTCACCGTGATAGGGTAACTGCGTCTACATGGTAACCTTACACAAGGACGAAGATCGGTTGGATATTTTCCTAGTCGCTGTACGGTGTTTTCCCTCGGTCAATTCGCTCTGGTGACGTATCCGAGTCGAACGGGCGGGAATTAACTCACTTCACTCACTTCTTCGCGGTTCGGACTACATGGCCCGAAACGGCCCGAAACGCATTGGCCGCGCGGTATAATGAAGCCTAGGGACTAGACAAGGTGGATAACACATTAAAGATTTGTGAAAGCTTCCATCTGATGTGCAGTTTTTAAAGTTGATCTCGTTTGGATCGTAAAAGTTGTATTTGATATTCATTTTTCTTTTTAGGTCATCCAATTGGTGCCACCGGACTGGCTCAGTGTGCTGAGCTCAATTGGCAGGTGGGTGTCCTGTTTTTGGTTACTTGAAGCTGTCCGCTGCTACTTTATTCCAGACGCAATGGCGTAAATCTTAATGGCGTAAATCAGTTTACTTTTTTATGGCTAAGCCTGCTGGAAATCAGAAACCAAGAAAAAATCTCTATTTTCATTTGTGGCGTCCAGCGGTTTTAGTGATAACAAGGGTTTGGGCGGGGTGCTCTGTCTTGCGGGCTGATAAATCCTGGTCTCGTTCATTCTTATCTAAGGATTTTCTGTCTAACGCAAAGACTGTTTGAAATTCCCTTTTCTTATTCAAGTGCATGTATCTGTTCTGTTGTAGCTAAGAGGTGAGGCTGGCAAGCGGCAGGTTGAGGGAGCGACAGTTGCCTTACAACATAACTATGGCATCGGAGGAGCAGCTGTTGTTACAATGTACAGAAGATACAAGCCAGCCTTTCAAAATGCCAAATTATAGCATTGTTTAGGAGCGCAGTTAGTGCCGGTCGATAGCTGCAAATCATGCAAGAAACCACAATTATCAACTTCTGAAGGGCGATTTCTTCTTGCTGCATTGCTTGGCCCTCTGTGCCTTACTGGCGTTTCTGTGAGACTGTCACACCCAACTGATAATGCCCAAATCGCCTTATTCCTCATGCTGTTTCGCCTCCTCCGTGAAACTTTTGTTTGGGTCTGGCTCGCACCCCTCTCAGTCTGTCTTCATCGTGAAACCTCAAAGTCGGCGGTGATAACATACCGAGCTTTGATCTAGTTTTGGTGGTTCTTAAAAGAGCTTGTTTTTCCCTTTTTCTGAACTTTGGAATCGCACACCAGGGCAAACAGACCTTTTGAATTCCTCGGAGGCGCTGTGAGAGGGAACATCAGAACTAGCTCTACAGCAGAATTTTACTCCTTTTGTTTACAGTGAGTATGTGCCTTTGAAGAAAAGCCATACTTAATGTTCAGGGATCATTGAGGCCGTCATTGTACGAAAAAGAATTTAACACGCTCCAAAAAATGCAAAAACAAACAAACCAAACACTTGCTATCTCAGCAAGTGATGAAGTCGGAGATAATAGTGAAGCGTGTGACATGGGTTCGAGGTTGCATTTGACCGACCTTGGTGCGTTATTATGCAATAGCAAGAAACTGAAGAATAAGAATGTATGCCTTGGTACTTTTTTTTGCATAATTCGTGATTGTCTTGTACCATACGTTAAAATCCTGATTTGGATTTTCGATCAGACCGACCCCAAAGCGTCTAATATTTTAGCACAAGAAACTACAATAAAAGTATCACTTTCTAATATAAATAAAATGAAATAAACGGGGGTGCCAACTTTCCTCACTTGAAGCCAATCAGTTGCCAGAGATGTGAGATCGAAAGTAAGCATACCGAGGGTAAGCGTTGAAAGGCGAACTATGCTGCTGCTTTAGTCCATATTTCATCTCACCTCGCCCACCCAGACCAATGATGGCAGAAGTCAGATAGACCATGACACCACGGCAAACTTTCCTCCTCTTTTAATTTTTCGAACAATGTCACGGGATCTTTTACGTCTCCTTCCAACTGGTGTGTAAGGATGAAGGAGACAAGACCAACGGCGTAACGTCACTGCGCCCAATGACGCGATTATCTGAATTGAGAAAGGGGTTTTAGTCACATCTAGCATGATCTCACCAGTTTTTTAAGACCTTGGTTGATGGTCCTGCCGTGGTTTGAACTCACGGCCTCTCACTCAGCAGACCGGCAGTCTTCCAACTGAGCCTACCAGGTCAGTGGCGGTTAGTTTAAACCTTCCCGCGGCAAATCTTGAAAAAAGTGTAGCATATAAAGATTGCATAATAAAAAACAAAGAAAAGAAAACTACAAACTTCGGGTCTTAACATCGAAGGGTCAATGGACTGGCAAATTGTTCGCTATAACGAGGTTTCGTTATATCGAGGTCCTTTTCATATATTTTACTATCACTGGGGTAAAGAACATCGCTCGTTATACCGTTGTATCGAGGTTCCACTGTATATGAAAAAGAACCTCAGTATAACGAAACCTCGTTGACAAATTTTACCAGTCCTTTGGCCCTTCGTTATATCGAGGTTCCACTATATAAAAATATTGAACCAAACACTATCGATAGCCTGCAGAAAGCGTTAGTACGCCCGGCTGCATAAGATTTTGTGAGCAAGCTATTTAGGAGGAAAGAAGTTGACGACAAATTAGCAGATGCTTCCTTTCTTTAACTGAGGTAAAAAAATATATAATATGACAAATTCCCTGCCCCGGACAGACCTTTGCTTGATGACCAATGCCCCACGGGACTGGGGGCATTGGTCTTCAAACGGGAACACATAACATGACAGTGAATGCCCCGAAAAAAGATTACGTAATGTGATGCACTTTTGCCAGCTGCCTGCTAGCTGAACCTTGAAATCAGGCTCTATTTTCGCTTTCGTTTTGTAAATAACAAGAGAACTGCTAAAATTGGGCCTGATCTTTTTCGCCAATCGTCTCAATGGCCACGTGACCTGAAATAGAACAAATTGTGGGGATGAGAGATGAGAATTGGGTAAACTGCAGGGGTTATGGTAAAAGCCAGATATCTGCGGCCCTCAGTTTAGCTGCTAACAACGTTCTTTTTGATGCCAAAAATGCCGGAAGTTGCATTTCCGTACTTCTAGATTTCAAATTTTTCTTGAATTGGGGGAATATGCGCACGGGTCCCCCACCCCTTCCACTATCGGGAGTCCTGTCGGCAAATTTGGAACTGTTAGTGAAACGAGCGGTAGTCTGGGTACTAACAGTAGCAAACATGAACAAAACAAACATGGCGGGAGGGAGTGAACATAGTGGAAGAGAGCAAAATGAATGCTTAACCCGGCTTCTCTTTAAATCCTAGCTCATCATGAGTAACTGGAGGATCGTACGTTTCGTTCGGAACTTGACACTGGCCGCTAGTCGCCTCGTTGGCGTAACTGTGGTTCGGTTTTTCTTTTCATGTTGTACTGTCTTTGTCATCGTTTGGATCGCTGTGTTGATGTACGTGAGTTTTTACTATGCTTATATGCCAACAGTGAGCCACATAAGACCAGTGTTCCTACTCTTCAAGTAAGTTTATTTCCCTTTCTTTTCATTTATTATTCTTGAATGGCCTCGTTTAATAGCGATCGTTTGTACAATCCTGTCCAGAATTTTTCTTTTTTATATTATTTTAATTTTAGTTTTTGTTCCTGTGTAGTTCGGATTGCGAAAATACTCGGGGAAAAGAACTGTGTTCCTATCCGCAAGCTAATCTGTCTTTGAGCACCGGAGAAAGAGTGAGTATTTTTTTCTGTTAGCTTCATAAGTTTCAACCCAAAAAATTGAAAATTGCAATTCGTTCATGTTCAACATCACCCCAGGGCGCAAACTCCATTTTACTACTTGTCCAGAGGTCATGCAATGTTCAATAACATGCCAAGACATGTACCAAATGTAGTTTATCGGTGGTTCAAGGATCAATATATTTTAAAATAACTTGTTACATGTCCCTCTGAACATTTAGTACACTCAAAACATGCTGGTGGGTGACAGAAAAGTATTAATTTCAGAGTGCTGTACTATCTGTTTTATTTTACCAGATTAGTGGTCTTAAATTTCACTGCATTTGACATTAGACTGTGGTTGAATGTGGTTGATTCTTGATGTCTGGATATGTGTGTTATTGAAAGGGAAGATTAATCCCTCAGAACTCACAAAAACAATGTAAATGTAGAATCTATTTGACAGCTTTCTTGTCAGCCATTTTAGTGTTGTGTGACACAAGGCTTAAAAACTCAAGATGGCACAGGATACCCAAGATCGTAAACTGCATTTTCCTAAATTTATGTCAAATGCAATTATGTCCTCACCATCTACACGGTTGCCTCCTGCTAATGTTATGATCTGAAAATTTAAAAAAAAGTTTTATTTTATTATTTCAAGATACTGATGAGGGGACAGCGATACCAAGTCTTTCTTGATCTTGAAATGCCGCATTCTCCTGTTAATGAGAGGCTAGGTTAGTACCTTGTAGACATATTTTATTATCTTTTGAAACTGATCATCTGTACAGTAAAGTTTCACAAAATGGCTGTGCTATGGTTAAAATGCAATATAAAATTACTACTACTGATAGCTAGCTTATTAATGGGGGTGTGATGCTGTGGAATAGCCTCCCAATTGAGGGGCAGCAAGGAGATACCCTATTTTTCATCCTATAGTCGAATGTACCTGTTGTGTAATTTACTTTAGTGAGAGGCATAACTCTCATGGAAAGCATATTTACACAAGTAGAGCATTCAATCCTTTTCCATTCATTTTTTAAAATATATTAACTTATTTTGCATGGCTCAAACGCCAAACTTTTCATGAGCCAAACCTAATACATTGAATTGAGAACATGAAAATTAGGAATGCCTGTTTCAATTTGGGACAGCTCAGCCATTCTTACTGCCTAGCCTGGCCGGGAGTCTGGGATGGATGCTGAACTTTTCATGAACCAAAGCTAACGTATAAGGTAAATTATGATAACATATTTTGTAAGTAGTTTGACCAAAATGAGCATTTTTTTTCCTTTTGAGTTTAGTTCAGTTGGAATTAAGATTGGCATCTAAATCACCGTCGGTCTGAATAAATTTGGGTAGGCCTTAATTGGCAATCAGTTCTTGTTCAGCATCTGAACCGGGCCTTAATACTATTAATACTAGTTTTCCCATGAGATACTGTGGGCAAATAGAGGTTATTATTATTACTGTTATTATTATAGCAATTTGATATTCTTTGCAATGTCTAACATGAATCTAGTAACAGTGCGAGGGGAACTACTGTACCAGCCGGATCCATTTAAATAGCACAACTGTAAAATGCATTCATAAATACACTATAACAGGATGTTTGCTCAATTTGTTTCTGCACATCATGTCTGTGGCTATGACACATGTATAATTGCAATCCTAATGTTGCACATGTAGTCTGTCATGTATGGCCAAAAGGGAACACAACATTATTAAACTGCAATAGGTATTTAGAACACCACCCCTCCCTGTCTTTTCTTATTTCATAGTACTTATAAGTACTCAAAATTTAGAGGCCTATCAAAAAAGGAAGAACGGACTTCTTAGAATTGGTTGTCATTTAGAACTGATTATAAACAAAATTAGCCTGCAGCACATAAAGTTGGGGAAGGGCAGAGAAAGCTACTGTTGGGGACAGGTATTTGTTTGAATAAGTAGATGAGTAGACTGATGTGATTTGTGAGCACTGATAAAATTTTGATGTTTTATTTTATAGGAATGTTCATGGTAAAAGTTACCTTTTTATCTGACTCCGGAAAGATTTTGGCAAGTTCAGAAAGATCAGTAAGTCTGAGGTTCCTTTGGTATTTCCCAAGAGATCTTGGTATTTAAGGAAGACTTAATCTTGTTGTTGTTATTGTTGTTGTTGTTTTTTCCTTTTTTTTCCTCATTGTTCGGTATGCTTTTGATTTTTTGCCTCCCTTTAGGGTATGCTACACTACCAATCAGCTCTGCGACAGTCTCTTGGAACCATTTTCTACTCATTACCAATGGTGCTGGGTTTATCAGAGGAAAAGCAGACTGTGCAGATAAACTTGTTTGAGGAATATGTTGAGGATTCTGTTAGTACAATATAAATATATCTATATTTTTATTTTTTGAACGTGCATAGGCTCATAAAATTATTTAGATGTTGCTCTTGCGGGGTTTGGGCTGCCAGAAAGTCTTTGGAGAGGCCTTCCAAGCACGTCCAAATGTCACTGTCAGTTTGGCATAAATTTTGTGTTGCTCAAATTGGAATTTACTGCAGATATAGCATCTGGAATTAGTTAATTAATTAATTTTTTATTATTAACCTTCTTCCTCAGGGGACTGTTCTTGAACAATACCATAGAAAACTTTCCAAAAAAAAAAAACAGAAACTGTTTGGAAATAATGGAAGAGAGTTATTTTGCTGCCGAAACAGCCAAAATGCAAAAGTGGACAGAAGTCGATTTCACTAACTACTTGAAAAATGGATTGTCCTGTCGATTGTTGGTGCTTTCTGAAAGGATTGCCACTAGTTTTTAGGGCCATGTTGCCTTTCGCCTCTACCCCTTGGAGCCTAGCTCTGAAACAATCCACCTTCATGCAACGAAAAAAAAAAGAAAAAGCACTTGCCCACTAATCTTCCCTGCTATGCAGGCTATATAATAGTTCTTGTGTACTTGTGCACTTTCTCTTTATTTGTTTTGTAGTATCACCCTGCTGTTGGAGCTAATGTCATTGTCTTCACCAAACAAATCGAAATCTACTCTGCTGCTTTGAGAATTGAAGCTCATTTCGCAGGACTGAGGTTCGTTTACTTGTTAATTCATATGACTGTAAATTGTAAATGTCATTTTCTTCATTCTCCTCAGGGTTGTTTATGGATAATTCACATCAATGGCATGGTATTTTTCTTCTTGTTTGAAACTTTCATGACTAAAAATCTTAATTTTGAAAAATTCGTAGACAATAGCATACAACAGCCATGCTTGTTTTCTTTCATTCAGGTACATCATGAAGAACTGGCCAGTTACTTCAGCTTTGGTGGCGATCTTAATCAACTTCTTGATCATCAGTTCTGTGTTCTTCTTCGCGTACAGTGCATTCTCGCCAGAACCTTCCTTCGAGGATGAAGATCATGTGCAGTCCGCTGACCTAGACACGGTCACTGAAGAACAACAGCGAGTTCTCACGGTTCGACGCAGGGGGCAAGGTAGTCCTAGAACCGAAACTCTTAACACCAATACGAGGCAGCCCAGCTCTGGTAGGTTGTCACCCAGTAGACTGGGTACATCACGTGATCAGGTGCTAAGCCAGTCGAATGGAAGAATGACTCGGTGTGCCTCCTTTCCGTCCTGCAGGTGGGACATTTCTCTTCAAGGTGCTACATCATCGGCTGCATATCACTCATCCCGTCCATTGCATAAACACGGTCCGCATTACCATAGTAACGATGATCTGGGTGGGTGCCGGGGTTGTTCGTGTCCCGATGGCGTTGTTGGCGGCGGTGGTGAGCTTGGTAGGGAGCCCCTGGGTCTCCAGGATCTTCCCGCGTCCCCAGACTCAAGAATAGAGAGGGATCCATATTACATCTTGAACTTCCGCGGAGGCAGAGCATGGAAAAGTAGAAGACGACCCTACGCTGACGGGCGTGATGAAACCGTAGATGATGTGTTCCCCGCGGCGAGAGCAGCTGGAGAACGTGGCAAGCCTATGGCGAGGCCTGGCGCACTCAGATCAAGGTTCTCTTGGAGGAACGTGCCAGAAAATGGCGAATTATCCAGTAGCTCTACTGAGTGTGTTCACACGAGAGCAGCAAATCGGCGACGCAGGAGAGTAAAAAGGTTTTCACTGGAAAAAAGCTCTGATTCCGAGGAAGAGCACAGATGTGACCACAGCCATGACTGCTTTGATCATGATGAGCTTACTGTCAACGGGCCCCTAAAGAGCCGGGTCCCAGATGGTGCCACTTCTTCTTCTGAGTGCCTACACCAGCGTGCTCCTTTAGGAAGTACCTTGAGCACTGTGGATAGTGGTCCTATCTCCGCTGAACGGAGCCTAAGTCGGACACTCAGTGACAGCGATCACAATGAAGCTGGAAACAAACGATCGGTCAACAGGACAAGGGCAAGGTTCGGACTATCATTAAAAAGAATCCTCTCTAAAAAGGAGGACAAGTCCTCGTAAAAAGATTGCTAGCATGGACTGATTCTTTTACAGTGCATCTCAAATATAAGAGCCACTAAATTATGAGACTTCTGCTAACCAGAGGAATAGTCTAAAAGCACACAAGGTCAAATATTGTTGGGATTGTAATTTAAAAATACATTGAAAATTAATTTATTGGGATATCGGAAGAGTTATTTGTTGGTCTCAGGCAAGACGTTTAGAGGGGCGTGGTTCTTCGGTAATTATCTTCTTTCGTTACTTCAAGCAACAAAGAGCTGTCGTAGGACTGCAAAACTACTCGCATACCTCTCGCCTAACCAAAACTTAACACTAGCCTCTCGCTTAGGGAAACACTTAGGGGAGGGGTAGGTGGTGATCTGTTCATAGACTTTCCTAGTGTACGAGACGTAAAACCTATGCTAGGATGGCCTTTCCTAGCCTCCCACGCGGACGTTCTTAGGGTTTCTTCACACGCACCACGAGATAAAATAACTTCTGTGTGTGAGGCTAGCCTTTTCCAGGCGATCAGTTAGGGGGTACGCGCTATAATGACCTACAGGGGAAGGCTTCGCCCGAAAGGGGTATCTTTTTTCAGGTTTCAGGTGTATGGAAGGGTGGTTATTTCACTTGTTAAAGTATATGAAAGGGTAGGGAAATCTGTCGTTTCAGTCAGTATAAAGGAGTCTCAAAACGACTAACAGATGCATTTTATGGCTTTGATGAAGTGAAGAAAACGTTCTGGTTTTGTGAGTTATTTATATTTTAAGACTAGGCAATTACAGCAGTTAAAAGGGATGCAAAGTTTTAAACTAGGTATGTGAAAGAGGTACCATTTGTCAATAGAAGGTATACGAAAGGGGTGCCTTTCTGTCAAAAATGGTATGTAAAAGGCCAAGGGGTTGGACCTCGGGACGGAGCCTCCCCGTATAAAACCTTTTTTAGTTCCCCCCCCCCCCCCCCCCCCCCCCCCCCCCGGCGTAAACCCTTTTTTGTTCCCCCCCCCCCCCCCACCGCCCCCCGTCCCGGGTGTACAACTTTCTGTAGGAAATGTCTACTTTAGTGGAAATAAAGCCACCGTCATTGAGAAAGTTGAGAAAGGTATTTAAACAGCGATCTAGATTTTTTATTAATTCGGTTATCTTTAATAGAATATTGATCTATTTACTACTAATGTACAGCTCTAAGATTGACTGCATCTAATTTTAAAATACATGTATTACTGTTAAATCAAATGTCAAAAGACAGAAGAGGAGGAATTATTTAGTTACATAAAATGGCTTGATTGTAAATTATCTGTTAAAGGGGCCATATCACAAGGAGAATATTGCTGTTGAAGCCATTACTTTCTAACTTTAACTCTACACAAAATGCTTCGTTGGAGATATGATGAACTAGATATTAAACACATTTCATCAGAGAGCGCCAACCATAATAATTTTTTTGGTGAGTTTTGCAGACATTGCATTAAAACTTGAAAAAGTTGACCCAACCTTTTCAATTTTCAATCAATGTCCATCCTTGCCATCCGTTGCAACAGACGACAGGGAACAGTTTTAATGGTTCAATATATTCTCAAATAACAAAACTGGACCATTATTTTTGGAATTCTATTGATGCGAAGATAAGTTTTCGCTTTTTAAAAAGATAGCAAATAGCGCGACATAGCCCCTTTAAGTTCCACATGAAATGGAGGAGTACAGTGTTGAGAATATCTGTTTCGATCTAAGGGTGAAGCACTGTTTTTATTAACTGTTTACCCGCTAAGTATGGAGCCTTTTAGTTGCGGTGACAGAATTGAGAAATAAAATTTGACTTGAAGATCTAATCAACAATGCCACGGCTGTTGTGAGTTTTCGTTGAGTTTAGTTTGTTGGTTCACTTTATAGTCTATGCCTTCTTCGCTTTTTACCTTTTTGATTTTACGTCACATTTATTAAGGGAAGCTTTAAACTAGCAGATTCGTTTTACAAAGGCCACGTCCACACGAATGCAGATGTATATGAAACGGCGTACATTTTTACACCAGTCGGCCTTTCGTCCACACGAAGCCAGTGAATCAGCTCACGGAAACCGTATCTTTTTAGTAACCGTTCTCCTGAGTGGTGTAAGGCCGGCCGCCACACGAACCCGGGTAAAATAATTTGCGGTTTCAAAAATGTCCAGATTCGTGTGGACAGTGGCCTAAATCGCACCACATTTCTGTGGCCAGTCACAACGTAGAAAAGTATAAACCGATCAGAATCAAGGAAAATATATCTATTCGGCCCAGCAAGAGAAAGTACGCATGAGCGAACCAAAAGTCGTTTCGTTAATCCCGATTGGCTCAAATGGGCAACCCTCATAACCCTAAAAGCCAATTGGTTTGTTGCCCTAACCATAAAACAATGGACGTAATAATAAACGATGTTGTGTTGTTTCTGCGACCAATGAGGAGACACCTTAAGAGCAGCAGCTACAGTACTGTTGGAAAGTGGCCACAGTATTCTCCAATCGGGTTTAATTCCACATAGCCACTTTCTAATTCTTGTGTTTTGTATTGCCTTTAGCTCTGTATTTTTTGTGGGAGAAATAAAAGATGAAATGTAGTCATTTTAAAAAACTCAATTCACCTAAGGGATGTTTTAAAGCGGAAGTAAAGTATTCAAACAACGGCAAAAAGTTCTTCTGAACAAGGAAGAGAAAACAAAGCATATGGGCTGTTAATCACTCGTTAACTGTCACAGAAAAGTTCACACAACAGCCAGGAAGACGTTTCTAGGTCTACTCTTTAGCTTTGTGTTTCATTTGACTACTAAAAAACAAAACTTAGCTTAGTTTAAAGGCAAGCAGATTTTCCTGACGTCACGGGAAGAGAAAACTAAGGAAGCGGCTTTAGTAGTCTTCGAAGAACATCGTTCCCCGCGCTTAAACTTCAACTCGGCCCTCATAAGCGACTCATACGATGGCGTACAGAACATCGTTCTTCTTGCTGGCAATTACATTTGTCCTCGTTTTCATCATGACTTTGACAGTAATCTGCTGTTGTAAACTGATAATGACGTGTGCGAAGAAAAATTATGATGAAGAAGAGGACGAAAATCCAAAGACGAATACCACTAGCGAAGATGAAGTAAGTAGGAGTGCCGAACGGTCGCACAGCCGTGAAAAATGGAAAGTCGACACGGAAGGATTCATCATTGATATCCCTGAGTATACCGAAGAAATTGGGACATTTTCTGTCTCTAAGCGGAACATCGATGATCAACAACAGTGCAAAGATAAAGGACCTGCAGTACAGGATGAAAAGAATCATCAAAAAGATGTTCCGGCGGACTACCAAACCGTCCAAAATGGATGCACTCGTTTAGGTAACAATGGGTCCATGGATACACGGTTTTAAACGAGTGTTTCATTGATTTTTGCTAGTCTTAGTTTCAGACATTTTTGCAATTTGATTTTTCTCATTAAGTTTTTTAACGCAGATCAAAACTCTTTTATTCAAGCTCTGTAGAACACTAACAAAAGAAGTTTTTCTATAGTCAGCTGTTTGCTGTATTCAGTGTAAAATGAACAAAAAAAATCTGTCCTGACTCTCCAGTAAAGCGTTTGTCATTCCGAACTCATGAGGTCCAGTCACCTTTTTTTAAATTTATACTCAAATGTACATGAAAACGGCTAGCCGATGAGAAAATTTTATACTGTTATAATTTCCAAGAATACAATTTAAGCCAAACTTGACAGGTGAAGGAATTAATAAAACCTTAGAACCTATTGTGTTGGTATTCTGTGAAATATCCGCGGACGTCAGCTGAGACGGAAGGATTTTCTTTCTTCGTTGTGAAACACACATTTGCCGTTTTATTATGTGTGAAATCTAAATGCATACAGAAGCGAATTGAAGCCTGGACTGCAAAATAATTAGACCAAGGGAAAACCAGGGGTACCCAATGACTTTTTTTCTGTAAAATAAACTGTTCGACGTATAAACAAATATTACCTAGAAATTTCTAAAGCTCGAGAAAGGCTTACAGTCCCCTTGTGGATAACATTCCATTCGTCTGGGATATTCAGAGTTTTTCCGCTATTTATTCGGGGGCTGTGCTTTTCACATTTTAGTACCAAGATATTGCGATCATTTCTTAAAAAGATCTCCTGAAAATGTCGGAGTGAAGACATACCTCCCCGAGAATTTTTTAATGATGGCTCCATGTCCTCGAACTTCCTTTTCGGTTGAAGCAAAAAAAGCTTATTAATAAATCTTTCGCAACTACTTAAGTTCCCCTAAGACATCCGAACAGACAAATATAGCTTTTAGGGCAGCTCCAAATTAGCTGAGCAGGCTTCTGAAACGTAGAGAAAACCATTTGAGACACTCCTGACCTTGTCGGTCCTTGCTGAGTGGCATAGTTTACCATCTCTGCAGTAAACGCCTGCACAATACTCGTCGAGAGAGTTTGCGTTCCCAAGTGTGATTAAGTAAAGGGAAAAAGCCCCGGAGGTGGTTGTTCGATTGACTGGCACTAATTAAACAAACGGAATCAGCTCACCGTTAATCATCCTCGGCCTTCAGCGGTTCCTTAATGCAGCTGTCAGTGAACTTGGTTGCGATTTTTCCTTTTCACAGGAACAGCGCTATTACGCCGCTAATTAAAACTTGAAACAAAATTTCGGTTTCTACTTTTTGTTACGGGTAAACTAAGCGCTGATATTTCCGTACAGTGTTTTGCTTAAACGGACACTGAAAATTCTAGGAAGGAAAAACTTTGGCACAAAACAAGAAATTCATATTAGAAGTTGTTCAACTTCTTGTGAGTAATTTGAGACGAGACAAAGCATAATAAAATCGTTTTCAAACTTTTAAGCCATAGTAAACAGTATACAGTCAGAGTAAACATAGTATACAGTCTGCTCTTTTTAGTATGCGTTATAGTTTTGTTACAAACCACCCTTGTATTCTTCGGTTTGCTCTAGTTAGTTTTATGGTGTATAGCATTCAAGTTTAGCTTGGTTTTACAAGTTGCGGGGTTTGATAAATTTAACATTCTTTAGACATAACGTATCTTCTCTGGGTATACTGAGGCCAAAATCCATCAAAAACTCAAATGTGCCCAAAAATTTTCCGAGATCCTTTTTTTCTTATGACTTGAGTCTAATACGTTTCCTTCTGAAAACGTTTGTCGTTTAATTACTTGGTTTAAAACCTCATCGAGACTGATTTTTGGCAAAACGTCTGCTTGTTTCACTTTTCATATTCTTGCTCGGTTCATAAAGAACTGCCTGTGAAAACGGCAAGGGCACTGGAGGACAAATGAAAATAGATCCGTTTCAATGTATCGCAGTGTGCATATCAGTGAAGCACTTTACTTCTTTTCTCTTGCTCAAAGGTTGACCGTCATCAAAGCAGTTGGTAAACGCTTAAAAAAAAATTTCACCGCAACTGATTGGCCAGCAGAACATTGCGCTTGCGCATGCTCTGCCGGACTCATTTCTTTCGTCCTGTATCACAGTTTTGAATTTTATCTCATCATTACCTGCTAACCTTAATTTTGCTACATGTGTTGGTTTATTATCATCGAGAGCTGTGATTCTTTTTTACATAGGTGGTCCATCTCGTTTCTGTTCTGTTCGTGATTAGCGAGACTTCAGTATGAGTCAGTTGACCTTTGACCACGTGAAGAGCTAGTGTTCAGTTCCTGACCGGCCAGCTAAAGAGGCGAATCACCATCGTTGTAGATCAGTGGCTGTGTTACCTTGTAAGGAGAAAATCGGACAGATGATGTACGATTCGATTTTAAGCCAGACTTGCGCTTTTTTCGTATAAATAGTGCTAAATGGAATCTATGATCTCACTGAGTTCCACGTTGTACTTCTCAGTTATCTCACTGATTAAAAATTTCTTGTGAAAAATTCAAATTCGATTCTTAGATATAGGTCAGTCTTCAGACCGACCGTCATTTTAAAAGAACGATAATTGTATCATATTCCTGTAGCTATGAACTAATTCCGTTAAATCTTGTCAGCTGCTTTAAGTTGGGATTTTCTACAAAAATTAATAATTAATGTCAGAAAGATTCTGAACGACATCCAAAATTCATAGAAAGCCGTAGGTATAAAAACACTTGATGGAGCAAATCATAGTCACTCACAGACATCATCCCAAGGGTCAGTCCGACCGGAAGGATCACTCCTTAACCTCAGGCTGTCGTTTCATTATCTGAGGTAAGATATAATGGTACTACCTTGTAGAGATCACTGAAACTTGGAGCAGTACAATAACTTTCCACTTTTTATTATTTTATACCTGTTTTTTTAAAAATGTCTTGATCATTTTATTTAGAAAAAACGTTTTGGAATCCGATCGAAAATTCTGCCTCTGATCAGTTCAACTCTGCTGCCATTGATGTGCGGAAGTCGGACTCACCAATCTGTTGCCTGAAATCGTCAATTTTTTGTAGAATCAGAGAAATTTTGAAACTCAAACAGCAATGCCAAATTCTATCTAGATTCGGCCAGCGAGTTTGTCATTCTACAGTAATTATTGACGTCGGCCTCCCGGTATTGACATAAAACGAATATTTGTTTCGCTAAGCATTAAGGAAACTTCTGAAAGCTTAAATCTAAAATTTATGCTAGAGGGCCTTACGCTCTTCGGAAGAGGAAAGGACCCTCGAACTTCGATCAATAGGAACGTTGTTGGATGTCTATTCAGTGACGACTACTGTGAGAAATTCTGAAAAGGCTTTTTCAACAGTCTGTCCTCGCCGAAGCAACGAAGAGAATTAAAATGAAATGCAATTATGGAGGCAAGCGATCTACACGTACCCGAGATAGCTCGCAAGGGGGTATTCTGATGTGACCCATCACCAGTCATGTGCTGCTTGATAGAGCATGGTTTTTTGTTGTTGCTTTATTTTTATATTTGTTTGCTTTTAATTTTCAGTTTTACGAGAAACAAAAAGAGAAAACCTGATCCAAGGAAAAAAATGCCCGAAAAGCCCCAAGCCTGCCTCTTTCTAATCGTCATCGCCGCCTTTGCATCCCCGATAACTGGCACACAGTTACCGTATGAGGTTCTTGACTCCATAATAGAACTGACCGACACTGATGATGATTACAGAGATCTCGATCGAGTTAATGTGTCCGATGTCCTTGGCCTCACTCGTCCAATCTATCGTCTGGACCTTGATACAGATTACGTAGCCTACTACGAAATTGACACCGGAAGTGACTACCTTGTGCTGTCTTCCGGCCACAAAACAGGAGATTTTCGAGAAGTTGAGAGTGGGCCAGACCCAAGACCAACCGATGTGGTAATACAGCAGGCTCAAGAAAATGGTCAGCAGTGTGAGACGTTTTACAGGCTGTCGCCATTAGGACTGATAATGTGTGAAAATGGCAATGGAACAGTAGTGGCAGCGAGTTACAACTGGACGAATAATGATCCCCAGGTAGGATTATTAGAAAATAACCAAAATTAATTACTTTTATTAATATTGATTCAAAATACTTGGCCGTTTTTGATTGGCTCTAATCCCCCGGCTAATTCTTCAAAACAACTGGTGCTTACCATGTTTGAAAGATGCTAAGCTAAAATTATATTTTTTTGGAAACGAGGTTGATCGATGGAGACAAGGCTTCTTGGGCAATAGTGAACTAAAAAAATGACGCTCAAAAGAAATAACTAAATTTCTGACTAAAATTGAACGGAAGAAACTCAAGAATACGCAAAACATATTGATAGATGGATGTTATCTGCTTTTGAGGAGTATCGGCAAGCAAAAAGCATTTGTCTGTGTCTGGAAACCGTGCCAAGAAAACTCCAAGAAAAAAGCCAAAGTTTTAAAAAAAGTACAGTTTGTTAAGAACTTAGAAAAATTTTGAATAAATGATAAAACAGTTATTGAATTCGGCTTTCGTATCATGTGGTGAAGAATTGTGCGGATCTCTGAGTTCACAACTCTGAGGCTGCTACCCACCTCGGCTGATAACATTTTTTTCAGATCTGCATTTTTTTCTCACTCAGCCTCATTGAATAGTTGTTAAATATCCACTACAGGTATCTGTTAAACCCTGAAGTATGCTAAAGCATGTCGCACGTATGTATACAGCACTTGAACAACTTGCATAGAAAAGGAAAGAGTCATTATTAAAGAGGTTACCAAAACTTCTCAGGGAGCTGCATGTAAAACTCTTGAAGTCCTTAATCTAACGTTTACAGTTTGTGTTGAACTAAAATTGAATGACCAAAATTTTAAAAAATATATTGCGGGCTTACTAGAAGAAAGTGGCCTTTGCGAATTAAAATTGGAGTTTCCATAAATGGGAACACTTAAAAGAGAATTCGTATTAGTGGCTTACTAGCTGGCAAATTAAGAATTCCGTATTTCTTAAATTAGATCGAAGATTGGCGGTTGTTGGACCACATGGTAAGAGACAGCATGGACAGTTTTAAGAGCCTATGGCAAGAGAGGGCCGCCCAAAGACGATCCAAGTCAGAATGGGCTACTACTGAAGTTCTTTCCAGACCCAATAATGAACGAAACGAAAGAAAAGAAGTTGACGAGGCAGTCCTTACCCCTGGCTCTATTATAAAAGTAGCCATTGGCGAGCGTGTTCAATCGATTCCTCACGTCTACGTCACAATTAGCGATAACATGCGTGTGCCTGCAGGCTCAAGATCAGCGTGGCTGCAGAAACTTTCAAGGTGCTTGTCGACGTTTGTAGTCCTGATATGAGTACCAAGATAAACCCATCAGCTATAAAGGAGACACCCAATCATCTTTCTTAACTTCAGCTGGAGGTACATGGCAACCACACCTTCGTGGGAAACGCATTAGAGTGGCGTGAAATTGGATTTGCTGTTGAAATCATAGGACCCCAAAATGAACTTGTCAAAAAGTACTTTGCAATCAACCTGCAGGTGCATGCCACAAGACTTCGGCGCAGTGTCCGTTCAGGATCGATTCCACGCGAATTGTACGATTTCCCTGATTATGAGCAACACTCGTGCTGTGGAGGTTGTAAGAGCGGGTGCAGTCCAGTGGCCTGGGCTCAAGTGTTTGGATACTATGATAGACTTGGATACAGTCTTGACTCGAAGTACAGTGGATATATATACAGTGATAGACTTACTAAAGCCCCGTTATGGCTGACAGATGAAGTGGAGCGTTTCGTGGAGGACATACGATCACGGGTTCATACCACATGTGTCAATGGAGAAGGAGGTACCCTAAGGAGAAAAATGCATTTGATCGCGCCATGGTTTCGCTCCCGGCAAGCCAGGTCTCGAGTCGTCAGTTATCTTCCGAGTCGTAAAAAGCGATTAGCCGTGGCCAATGGTGGAAGAATTGAACGAGGAGGTCATTCTTGGATTGCGGCCAAAGGCGTTTATTGGCTTAAAAAGGACTACCCTGTCATATTTTCCATAGATATGGAAGGAAGTGGGGGACATGCAGTTGTGGCAACGAAATACAAGGAAAAGACAAGAAGGTATCGTCATTGCTATCAAACGATAACTGGATGGTGGGGAAAGAGAACCAAAGAAATCTGCCCCTGGAGGACAGCCTATGATTACGAGTTCTATTTACATTACGGCTGGGGAGGCTCAGGTAACAAATGGCAACAAATAGGTGCTAAGGGTGCCTATGTAGCCTATTTAGCATAACGGATGTGTTCACATCCAGGTGAGTTGTTGGGGGAGGGGATACTACCATAAGTAAGCTGTAAATGCCGCGGCACGGATTACATCAAGTGTTTAGTCTTGAACTAGGGTATATTTTCAAGTAAGACGATCTTTCGATCAGGGATTCTATTGGTTACGTTAAAATATCCGCATTGAAAAGTAAGTTGTTGTTAACAATTTAGCGTAAATCGACGACCATACCATGACAAATTCTGCAATCTGATTGGCTAACGTACTTAATATCTGAATCTTGATTGAGCTTCCATTTTAATCACAAAGAGAACAATGGCAAATTCTTCTGTAAATTGTATTTGCGATGTTTCTTGAGAGGAAGGGGGTGAACTAATCAATGACAGTATTCCAGAATAAAAACTAAAAATTTTCAATCGCCCCTAGCCTGTGTACAGACGTCCCCTCCTCCCTCCCTGAGGGAGGAGGGACGTCTGTACACAGGCTAAATCACCCCTTAATACCGAAATCCAACGCAGCTTTTACTTATATCATAATCGGCCTCAGTATCTACTTCCCCAACCCCTGCCCGAGAGTTTTTGCGCATTTCAACTTTTAAGATATAGCCTGCGAGCAAGCTCTCTTATTTGCGCGAGCGAAACGAGCCGCGAGGGGCCGACGGAAAGGTTCGCGTCTCCTCTCGCGTGCCTCTCGCTCGTTTACTTTTCATGATATCCCTCAAATGCTCGCAGGCTATTTAAGATAATACTCAATAGACTTTGTAAACTTTAAACTAGAGTTAGGATATCTTTCTCAATATAATGCTTCTCTTATCGACTTATCATTCAGTTCCAAAAGAGAATTGGTGCAAGTTATAGCTTAAAGGGACAGATTTGCAAAAAGAGAACGTTCACGGTTTTCAAAACTTCTGCTGAGTCAGGTTAATGATAAGCTTTAAATTGTCTTGAGTAGTATAATCCAACAGAAATTCTTTGAATTCAGCTTTCCAGTTGCATGCCCGACCACTGTGTGTTGGAAGATATCATATCCGAGGTATTTGTTTTAGCTGCTAGACGGCTGCGCTTAGAATTTGATTGACAGACGTTTCCTATTCTAGTACATGTATTTAATGGGGAATTAAGCAATGTTAAGTTCCATGAAACTACTGGCGGTCAGGGGGATTGCTAAATCAGTCGTTGGTTTTTTACATCTTGGTCATCAAAATTCAATTAAACATCTAGCGTAAGAAATCTGATTTGAATAACTCGAAGCTAGGCAGTAAGATTAAGGCAAGATAAAGGGTTTATTCCTCAGTAAAGCAGTTTGTAAAAACAGTTAACCGGGAAATGCAAGTCTCACAAAATTTGAGCCGGTAATATTCAACCATCGTCATTGGGCAAAACCCTGACCGCTGTGATGGATGAAAAGCAACACGATAAATAAAGTCCTTATAAAAATTACTTTGCTTAAATTTATAATAGCGTAGTTGCTGAACTGGCTGTTCCTTGCTCTGAGAGAAAATAATTTTAATAAACTCCTGCAGCCTTTTAAAGTTAGTTAGGACGTTATATGATTCTGGACGTTAGATGACTCTACTGTGAGTTTTTAAGTGGGAAGTGATGAGCTGATAAAGTGGTTTAGTTTAAAATTGTTTGATGATAAGAGATTGCTAGAAAAAACTGTAAAGTAAAACTTCTGAAGTGTATTTTGAATAAAATAAAGTAACACGTGAGAGATTGCCTTGCGTCTGTATACGACTCGACCAGGGAGGTACAATTGCCTATCTACCCCTTTTCAGGCCTCAGGTATATAAAAGGGTATGGATTTCATTAGTTAAAGTATATGAAAGGATAAAGAAATCAGTCGTTTCGCAGTGGACCAAAAAGGGCTAACAGGCGCATTTTATGGATGTGGAAGCGGACTGTAAGAAAACTCTCTGGCTTAATAATTTACTTATATTAAGAAAATGGAACTACATTTAAAGTAGTTAAAAATGAACAACAAGGGATGCAACCTCGTCCCCAGGGCGCTTCTTCCTAGCTTTGGAGGCTTCCCACCTCTAAAACCAGGGGAAAGCGTCTGGGGACGAGGTTGAAACGAGATGTAGTGTTTTAAGCCGCCAGGTATGTAAAAGGGTCACCATTTCTCAGTAGAAGTTAGACAAAAGGTGTACCTTTTCTGTAAAAAATGGTAAATCAAAGGTAAGGGGTTGGACTACGGAGCGGAGCCTCCTCGGATAAAACGTCAACGAGTACCCAGTTCCCCGGGGGACTCGACCTAAATTCGATCACGGGAACCATCCAACACCCCTATTCTGCCTATTTCTGATTTATCGTAGCGGAGCGTGAGTTCTTTGCGAAAGTAAACTTTAGTACTAGATACTGGCAGCGTATTCGTAAAATATCAGTTTTCGGGTGTTAGTCATTGTACTGGAATTTATCGTACCAGATGAATTTTTTACCGTATATAAATAATGATTAAATCGAGATTAAGTCAAGATTAAAGGACAAATCAACTTTAAGCAGTTTTCGAATTTCTACCATTTGATCACAGTGAAAGGCTATAGAAGGCTATAGAAGCAAATTCTGTTTGTTTTTCTTGGGTTTTCTCTCATCTTTAGCCGAAAAGTGGCCTCTCAGCATTTTACAGCAAAAAAAGTGGCTGTTATTTTGTTAAAGAAAAAACTTAATCTAGGCACGTAGGGTAAGACTCAACAAATAGCCTGCGGAGCTGACGGTTTCTTGGTGTGTTTTTCTGCCCAAGTGTGTTCGAGAGACACCCGCGCGCGAGTCAAACGGGAAAACGCGCGAGGTCAATGGAGAAAACGCTCGAGGTCAATGGAGCTAGACAAAAAAAGAAAGAAACCTCAGTATTTTTGTTTTCACCCACTTTCTTTCATGAATAATGATAATAATAAAAAAAATTATCCACTCCCCTTACGGGGCTTTTTAGGGATAATGAACCGATAAAAAAATTCAAATAGAACATATTATTATTTTTAAGAATCCCAACTGGCCTAGTGAGGCAAACCAGTCGGCTTTTTACAAGCGTGGCCGAGGATTTGAACTCGGGACTACCGTGAACAAATCCAGCTAGCGGTCAGAGCGGGACCTGAACTCGGGGCTTCCGGATTACAAGTCCAGCGCTCCTAACCACTCGGTCATGCGGCCCCACGGAATGAATAAATAAGTTAATTAATTAATCAATAGTAAAATAATTAATTAATTGTAAAAATCGATCGGCACGTCACAATCCTCTATGAATCCAAGCAAGCCTGGGGAGAGACATCTTGTTTTAGGCAATTGATGGAGGGCCGAGAACAAGTAGTGAAGTTAAAAGTACTGTATAATCCAAGGTTCAACAAAGTGCAGGCCCGGCGGGCATACTTCAGTGTTTATAGGTTTGCACGCTAGCAAGGTAAGAGTGCAAGCAAATTTTTTATGTTAGGAAAAGCATAGTTATCCATCTTTCTTTTATAGTTCGTCGTTATATTAATAAAAAACTAAACTGAAATTGTGTTTCATAAGAGCTCGAAGTGTTGTATCGTGCAAGCCATTTGAGTACAGCAGCACTCTTGCGTACCATTAGGTGTTTTATTCCCCCATTAATCTGGGCGCCACAGTTTACGATATTTTTAAACAGACCCTTAGGCGGAAGGCAAAGTCATACCAGTGGTCTTCCAAAATTGCCATTTAATTTGTTTCAATACTTTACAATAATGAAGCAAATAACTAGCTCCTCCTCAGACACACAATTTAACTGTTACAATCATATTACAGGGTATGTTATGTTATGTATAGTTCCCCAGGGATCGATGGTTATTTGTCCATGCCTCCATATGCTTTGCTCCTATATCTTGAAATGTTTTACTACCCAGTTTTGGGATTATGAGAGGAGACTCTGTGATGTCTTTTCTGTCCAGTGCAGGGAAACGAGCCATAGAGAATTCGTGCCTGATATCATGCACTCTTATTTTAAACACTAAGAATGGAGTCTACTCGAAATATCACTTGAACTTGGTTTTTGATGGAAAAATAGCTCATATATGCATGGATGGAATAAAGTCTATTGTCATTGATTGCTCAGTTTTATCCCAAAAGAAACAACAAAATTTTTGAAGTATTACAAAAAAATCAAAGAGCGGAGGGACTTAGAGCTTGCACAATACAAAGATTGTAGGAATATTGCACACTACAAATGAAAGGTCAGATGAAAGGCCTCGTAGTTTTTGACTTGAGCATGCAAATAGTTGTTAAAACGTTTCATACAGCACGCTTTAACACATCCTGGAAAAGTTCATTTTTCAGTTCTTTTTCATTTATCAAAACACAAACACATTAGTAACAGTTGGATTTGCTTTATCGAATATGCGCCTACTGAATATGTAAGATGTGAAAGGCCAAATTTACAAATATAATAATATACACTTAATGTCAGATCCCGGGAGAAACAGTTAGTTTTGTTTTCCCGAGAGTCCTGATGTTTCCCTTGACTTCGTCTCGGGAAACATCAGGACTCGAGGGAAAAAATAAAACTAACTGGTTTCCCGAGGAACCTGACATTAAGTGTATAATATACAGACCTCATGTATGCCTTTCTATCGTGCTTACGACATTTAACCATTAAATTTCGCAAACTTCATAGCAGATTTTTTTTGATTCTTTGAGAAGTTATTACAAATTCTCAACATTATGTTTCATCTTATATCCAGACACCTCGAAATTTGGCTGAAAATTTAATATATTCTATTTTTTTAATTTTACAGGGTTCTCGCCAAAAGCGTTGTTCCACTTTTCGCTATATAAAACAATCACAGCCCTTAAAAAGCATTCAATTTTTCAACCATAACATTTTGTTTATATTTTAATTTGTCGGTGCCACAATATTTGAATCAACTGCTGTTTTAGAAGCCGCCTTAAATTCTAAGTACACGGTAATATGCAGTTGTTCCTTCAATGGAGGTCAAATGTTATCTGTGATAATAAAAATAATAATAATAATTTATTACATTTAATAGAGGGCTTTAACTATTAAAATATTCTAAAGCGCTTTACAATATGTACAAGAAAATAAATATGTATATACAATAAATGGAAGGAAATAATAATAGTAATAAGAATATAAAATTACAAATTAAAAGCTTTCTTAAAAAGATAAGTCTTCAACTGTACTTTAAAAGAGTCAATGTTCTTACAGTTTTTAAGGCTAGATGGCAAAGCATTCCATACTGTTGGTCCAGCATGGAAAAAGGCTCGATCGCCAAAAGTCTTCCGTGTCACCTTAATTATTACAAGCAATGTTTTGGAATCAGACGGCAGGCTGTATCCAGTTCTAGGCTTTACAACAAGTAGTTCAGATAAATATTGTGGTGCCAGGCCGTTCAACGTTTTAAAAACTAAAAGCGCAATCTTAAATTCTACTCTAAATTTCACTGGCAACCAATGAATTGAAGTTCCCTAAGTACCGGAGTAATATGGGAAAACTTAGGAATTAAGCATGTAACCCGAGCCGCCGCATTAAGAATTTTTTGAAGTCGGTCATATTGATATTGCGGAAGCTTATACAAAAGAGCGTTGCAATAATCTAAGTGTGATGTAACAAACGCATGAATTAAACACTTTGTTGATTCTGCAGATAGATATTTCCTAATTTGCCTAATATTATAGAGCCCCCTAAATGCCTTACTACACACCTTTCCTATATGAAATTCATAGACATATGGTTATCAAACCATGTGCCAAGATTTCTAACATGCTTAAGGGGTTGAATGTCACAGTCACCAACTTTAATTGAAGCCATGGTAACCTTAGATAACTGCTGCGACGAACCGATCATTAGAAATTATGTCTTTGAATCATTAAACATCAACCAGTGTGAGACTAACCAAGCCCTAACATCAGCTGATACTGGTAAAAACTGGTGACGCCCCCCCCAAAAAAAAACAATGATGAAATTTAATCCATAAAACATTTGTGTAATAAGGTTATGCCTAATGATTCTTGAAACAATTTCTCCAAGTGTCCTAAGTTCTTTTGACCTTTCTCGTAAGGTAAAAAAATAAAAATAAAATAAAAAATTTGATAGAACAGGAACAGGAATTTTGCTCCTCACCTTGAAAAACTAAACGTAGTTGAAAGACTGAAATTTATTTCCGTAGAATCATCAGAGTTAATTTTTTGGTGACAAGACTTAACAAGTTCAAAAATGTTACCCGATAAAATTGGGAAAAGGCTAGATTTGTTGGCTAGAACATACCTTGAGCTACAAATGTTACGATCCACTTTCTGGATGGGGTTAACTATGTTTGAAGGCCGTTAGATAGACTAATACATAGGCCTCTGTGTTACCTCAGATTGTACTAAAATCATGTCTGCCGAAATGGACCAGTCCTGCCTCTTCCAATCAGCTAACGAACGCCCTGAACCAATCAGCGCTGAGATAAAAGGTATAATTCCCACTTGGCTGACGGGAACCTTGGTACGGATAGGACCTGGCAGATTTGAGTGCGGTGAAACGCCGCTCAAACACTGGTTTGATGGCCAAGGACTTCTGCACCGCTTTCACATAGAAGCCGGTCAAGTGACATACAGTAACAAGTTTGTGCGAAGCGACAGTTATGCCGACACCTTAGAACGCGGTAATCTTTCTCATCTAGAGTTCGGCACATTTGTTCCTCCTGATCCATGCAGGAACATCTTTTCCCGTTTCTTCTCGCGCTTTCGTGGAAAAGAACTTCCCTTTGATAACACCACTGTCAACGTCTTTATGATGAAAGACAAGATGTTCGCGACAAGTGAATCCAATTTCTTATATGAGATCGATGCTAGGACTCTAGACACCTTGAGGAGGGTGAACATCACGGATGAATTTCCAGGTAAGTAGCTGTATTAAACTGTGGAGACACGTTCGCCTATCCCTGACTCGTCCCAGTCGTCTCTTTTGTCTCGTCTTGTAATCCTAATTTTCAGCTTGCTGTTACGCATGCTTGGCAAGTATGTAGCACTCGGAATGGAATAGAGCGCAATCTGATCGCGCGCGTTTGTACCCTATATCACATGAGATGTACGCAAAGCACCAGCGTTGGAGCAAAGGCGTTTTGACCTTCGATTAGAAGCCCGAAACTCGTTGGCATTCCCTAACCGTTGCTACCAATAGTTAAGTATTAGGCAAAGACGTTTATGAGCGGAAAGCGTCAACTGGAAGTGAGGACTTGACGATACCGAATTATTTTTGCCGTGTCTTTACTTTCACGATTTTCCACTGCTCAAAAATGCAATACGTCCACTTCGGTTTTACTTCGGTCGCTCAAAAACGTCTTTGCTTAAGTAACGGGTGAAACGCGTGAAAGATCCTGCGGGGAAGATGGAAAGGACGAGAAAGGAATTTCTTCCTCTTTCCTCCATCATTTGCTTACCCAGCTCCGAGGAACTCTGGATGTTAATTACAAACTTTCGTTCCGGAGCATATCCCACTCTTACTAGCTTTTATTCCGGTTTAATCTTATGTTTTTTTTTTTTCAGGTGATGTTAAAATCAACTCTGCAACGGCCCACCCGCACCAAACCCCGGACGGTTCAGTCATCAACGTCACTGTAACATTTGGCCGAATCTCCTCTTACAAAATCATCCAGATACCACCCTCCTCGGGACAAGCGGATGTGAATGCTTTAGAGGGTGGAAGGGTACTTTGCACAATCCCACCTACAAGTGGTATAGGGTACTTTCATAGCTTCTGCCTCACCGATAATTACATCATTGTGACTGAACAACCACTGATGGTTGGAATATGGAAAGCTCTCGCGCACAAGCTTGTTGCCTCTAGTTTTGAACGCTGGCTTCGCTGGGATGCAAAACAGCTCGTAAGATTTCACATTATCGACAGAAAAGATGGTCACCGCGTGGGCATCTTCACAGCAGAGCCATTCTTCGTGTTCCACCACATCAACGCATTTGAAAAAGATGAGGAGATCTATCTCGATGCCTGCTGTTACCATGACAACTCGATTATAAAACAGTTGTACCTTCATAACCTGCGCTCACCTGCAGAAACAGGTCAGAAGAAGTTCGATGTCCCGGATGCGCGCCGTTATAAGCTTCCTTTGGGAGAACTTCGTGATGGTGATGAAAAAGAGAAACCTTTGCTCAAGGCAGGTGATGGGATGGATTATTCTTTGCTGTGCACAGGAATTGAATTGCCGAGAATAAATTACGAGGAGTTTAATGGTAAACCATACAGGTTTGTGTCGGATTTTAATTAGTACCAGACTCTTGAATCCGATTATGAGGTACTATTTATTGTGATTAGCTATCATTTCGACCGTCACAACCAGTTTAGGGTCTCACCCACAGGCCACCCTGCATAGCATGCAGTTCTTCTGTATCAGTTGAATTGTTTCACCCTGGTTCGAGTCCTTATAACAAGAGTAAAGCCGTACTTGCTTAATTTAACCACCACTGAACACGTATAATGATTTTCAGGTTTGTGTATGGCGTTGGATCATCTGACGTTGGGATCTTTGCCAAGCTCATCAAACTTAATGTGGATACTGGGGAGTTTGTCACCTGGGAGGAGCCGGAAGGGTTCACGTCAGAACCTGTATTTGTCAGGACGCCTGATGGGAAGGCAGAGGATGATGGTGTCATCTTGTCGTGCGTGATTAATGTCAAAGACCAGACCACCTCTCTGTTGGTACTGGATGCCAAAGAATTCAAGGAGCTGGGTCGCGCTGTTGTCCAAGAAGTTACTCCAGCCACCCTCCATGGAATCTTTCAGTAGCCACATGTTCTCGCATGCGGTTTAAGGCAGATTTTCTGTTACCAATTAGTTACCATTAAATGCCGTATTCAGGAATTCGAAGAGATTGCGAGGCGTGACCATTTTCCTCCCTCTTTAGAACAGAGTATTTTGAGCAATTCAATTGAATCGCTGCTAATATTGCTATCACCGAGAGATCCAATATATGGATCAACGTAGATAAAGTAACAGGAAGGAACGATCATAGTCGTTACCTGAAAGACAGTTGGTTTCTCTGTTGCTGATGCTTAATTATCTGCAGCTCGAACGCAGTAATTGCTCAGTGTCTATAAGGGCGGAGAATAGGTTGCCAGTTTGAATTGATGCGATCAAACTCTCTTCACTCAACCACTGTGATTCTGAAAAAGAAGTCTTGAATAATTTTCAGCCGAAGTCACCCATACTACGAGAAGCAATTCCCTGTGTCAATTTCGTGCTATTTTTAAGAGTTACTTTCCTTTATTTTAATTCTTATTTGGAGCTGAAGTTTGTAACTCCCCGATAGGGTAATTTTAATCTAAAATTAAAACTTTTTTTTTGGTGTTATGACTAACTCCTTGAAAGTTGCCTTACAAAATCCATTTTATATGTAAGCTGCGCGCGAAACACCTTTCAAGATCTATGACTCATCTAAGCGCAGTATTGTTTTCCTTATATATTTAACAATAACTGGCTTAGCAGCACTTGATTGTTTCTCTCAGTCCTTTTAGGTGTCCTTTTGACGGAGTTAGTAACTGTGACGAAGAAACCGTTAGGGACACCATGGGGGAAGGGGTAGGGAACCTAACGTCACGGGCGCGCCTTGTACCACAGAAATCGCCGGTTTAACCTTGGCCCAATTACCAATGTGGTGCCCAATGGGCCATTCACTTTCTCTTAACAATTTATTGACATCAAATGAGTTTAATTTAGTTCCGTCTCGGAGACATTTTAGACAATTACTGGATATCAGGGACTTAATTCTTTTCAGTACTACTCATTTTGGACAAACAGCGTACAGCAAAGAAGAGAAGCCGGACCTGCTTGGTGTAGATCATTATCAGCAATGTAGAATAAAACTTCAAATTAAATTCAAGGCTGAACGAACAGCTATGGAGGGATTTTATTGCTAAATATTAAATTCGTTGCGTTTTAAAGCAAACGAGAGTGTTACTTGGTGATTACTCAAAGAAGTGTCTTTAAACCCTTGGACGTACAAGAGGAGGGGGGGTGGTGGATGCCACCCCCCCATCAGGTTTTTCTGTGTTTTTTCCTAGAGGATAAAACATCAGCACCTGACGTTTTCAGTAGCTGTTTGTTTATCTCTCGCGCCTATTTTGAGACAAGTTTAGTGATGGTCAGTTGCTATGGTTACGAGATATGACGTCATAAGTAGAAGGTGGTCAAGCCAATTTTGGTTGAAAATACATGTTTTTTCAACTTCTTTCAACAATAAAACTAAATCTTGTGGCTAAAATCCTGCAAAGTGCTTATTAATGTGTTATTTTTCACGTAAAGCCCTAGGCTCCTGTTCTTGGTAAAATCCAAGATGGCATGTACGTCCAAGGGTCACGTCCACTCGTCTCGTTTTTCAGGCACCCTCACAGAACAAGGTGCTAACTAAAGACGTGGTATATAAGAATGATACCTAGAAGTTTGCTGCATTTCGTAAGTTTTTCATACGACAAAGGAACGTTCCTGCGTCAAAATACAACACATTTACAACCAACAACGAGAAGTTCAAAGACTACTGCAAAGCTGGACTTCTCGTTCTCGGTTCTTTATATTTTGGCTGATTAGATCTCTTTTCTAGCGATCCAACGTTTACAACTGGCAGGATCTTCGTCCACGGTTTTTGCAGTTAACACATTTACAGCTATTTCGAGAAAGGTTGTCGGAAAAAGAGCTCGCGACAATCCCGAAAGGTATTGTGGGTGGCTTTCAGTTCACTTTTCTTGTGACGAAACCCGCCACAAAAGTGAGTCCTCTCCAACGATAACACCGAGCATAGACAAACTCAAGAAAACACGTATATAAAAAAATTATACTCGTTTAACTAAACAATCAAAACGGGATAATTATTCTAATTTCTAAAGACTAATGCGATATTACGTTTGATAATTATTCTAAATGGTAAAGACTAATGCGATATTACATTTTTTACACAAAATACACAGCAATTTTTGAACTACTTAGTCTACAACATATTTACAAATTATCTTCTTCGAACACGCAGTAATAGTTGCCTTTTTAGTCCACCTTACGTATAAAACAGAGTTCCTCGTCTTTCCTTTAGTCCAGCCAGCCGCGAATCCTTCCGAATATAACACCACTTTCACTCGATCCCAAAACCTCCAAACTCCAGTAGCCGCCTTTCTCTTATATCTTTCATTCTATGACAGTTCTTCAAAGAAATTTGAAAGAATGGCAGGAGTGGCTATGGACGTATGTTTGCGAGTGCCAAAGGAAACTACAAAAGTAGGGCGAAAGCTAGAGTGTCAAGAACAGTGTATTGATCATATCCCATATTACCTTTCCGGATTGTCGCGTGCGCTTTTTTTTCCGACAACCTTTCTCGAAATAGCTGCATACACTTGGCAACGAGGTGTGAACAGGATAAAATCTTTCATTTGTCGCCGAGCATGTCTAGTTTTTGTTATCATTGGCTGTCATTGTTTCCAGCCCCACCTCGTACCTGTGATCTTAGTTGAACTTACATTCAAACACATTAGACACTATGGCAAATTCATTCAAACACTATGGCAGTAACTTGCCTTTGCTGGACTCGTATTTTATTTTTATCGATTTTTGAGGCTTAAGGGAGGGCTTGAGGAAACTGAAAACACAAGTAATATACAGAGCTAGAAGAGGAGAAGCCAGATTGAAAGTCATTTTAAGGTGAAAGTTCCCAATATTTTGATCTTTTATGTACAATTTTTACGTCTCAAACCTTTGGTTCGCATTTTTGGGTTGCCAATGACATACATTTTTGCTTCTTGTATGGTTATTTTTACTGTGTGCGCGCCTCTGTTGTCCGCAAGAAAAGGATTATACGATCACTGACGAAAAAGTGATTTTATATAAACATCATCAAAGGCCATAGGCGTACGGGCCGGGGGGGGCGAGGGGGCCTGCAACCCCCCCAAATTTTGGGCAACTCAGATTTTTTGGGCAGCAAGAGAAAATTTGGGCAAAGCTTTTTTTTTAAAGACGTTTCCGTGTTTTTTTATTAGTTTCAAGAGACAAATATTTTCGATTTTAATCTGAAAAAAATCCTGAAGTCAGCGTAATAATCCAGTTACATTCTCTCGAGACACTCACAGTGGTTGCTTAGCACGTGATGAGTTTCTGGTTATAGGGAAGGGTATCATTTGTTGATTTACATATTTATAGTTTTNTTTTTGGGCAGCAAGAGAAAATTTGGGCAAAGCTTTTTTTTTAAAGACGTTTCCGTGTTTTTTTATTAGTTTCAAGAGACAAATATTTTCGATTTTAATCTGAAAAAAATCCTGAAGTCAGCGTAATAATCCAGTTACATTCTCTCGAGACACTCACAGTGGTTGCTTAGCACGTGATGAGTTTCTGGTTATAGGGAAGGGTATCATTTGTTGATTTACATATTTATAGTTTTTTATTGTTGAGCACTGTACTGCACTGCACTGATTGGAATGGGCTCTTAGCAGTCGTGAATTGATTAGAATAAGCTTCCGCATATCTTTCTAGAATCATCTCCGCCCGTAGAAGTATGGCAGAGAGTATCAGCAACAGTGGGTGTCGAAATGAAGAAGTGGCTGACTAGTACTCAGCTCGAATTACGAGAAGAATATTAATTTTTTTAAATTATCTATCAAGCAATAATTTATTAAAGTAGACCGGAATGTTTACAAAACCGCTAACAAGAGCGCCTCGATACATACTGATGAAATGGAATCCTTCTTTCTAGCGATCGGCCGGAGCTATCTCCATGATATTTTATACACGTTTTTAAAAAGATTGAAGCTACTATGAGGTGAAATTACATGTCAAAAGAGATTCGTTTTCTACAGATAAACGGCCAAACATCAAATTTTTTTTAGCATATTGCCAAAATTTCATCCCAAAATATCCCGATAACTCTTTTATAGATTCCGTTTTAACTACACGAACATGGACGCGACTATTGGAGAAAAAAGTTGCCGTGAAGATTTTGTAGGAACAGTTCCCAGTGTCAAGAAATATTGCTGCAAGTAAAATAGACAATGGCATCATTTCGTTGCTATGACAACTCCGATGTCATTAAAACCCTATGATAAATTTTCACCTATATCTAATAAAACTATGGTAGTAATTTTTCCAAATGTTTGTCTATGGCGACGTAGTTATGCTCAAAATTGGGAGGTATTGACCCTGAAAAACCAGGGGCGGATCTAGGGGGAGGGTGCAGAGGGTGCGCACCCCCCCTCCCCCCTGAGATGACCTGCGGTTTTCTAATACAACTGGTATTCTGCAAAAAAAAAAAACTAGGTGGTTTATTGGTGCTCAAGTAGAGCAAGAGACGAATGCACCCCATCCTAAAAAAAATCCTGGATCCGCCCCTGAAAACTGCCACCTTCATATGCCAGTACGGCCTACGTTACTGTTTCGTAAAAATTTGGGTAACTTGCGAGAATTTTTTGAGCAAATAGTTTACCGCCCCCTACCCCCCCCCCCCCCCAAAAAAATTCCCCTACCCCCCTGTTCCAAGCCCCCCCCCCCTTTCCACCACCACCCCACCCCCTTAACCCGCCTAAAAAAAAACCCCCCCCTTTGGCCCAGGTTCTTCCTTTTTTTCCCCCCCTGATTTTTTCTTCTT